CCAGTTACGTATTGTTGTAGGTGTTAGTGAGGTGGTGGTGTTAGAGGTGGTGTTAGTGGTGGTGTTAGAGGTGGCGTTATTGGTAGGTGTTAGTGGTGTTAGTGGTGGTGTTAGTGGTGTTGGTGGTGTTAGAGGTGGGCGTTATTGGTAGGTGTAGTGGTAGGTGTTAGTGGTGGTGTTAGTGGTGGTGTTAGTGGTGGTGTTATTGTTAGGTGTTGGCTGGTGGTGTTAGAGGTGGGCGTTGTTGGTAGGTGTTGGGGTGGTGGTGTTAGTGGTGGTTTAGTGGTAGTGATGGGCGTTGGTAGGGTGTTAGTGGTAGTGTAGAGGTGGGTAAGGTAGGTGTTAGTGGTGGTGTTAGGTGGTGGTGTTAGTGGTGGCGTATTGTAGTGTTAGTGGTAGGTTAGTGGTGGTGTTAGTGATGCGTTGGTTGCTATTGGTAGGTGTGTTAGTGGTGGTGTTAGTGGTGGTGTTAGTGGTGGTGTGTTAGTGATGGTGTTTGTGGTGGGCGTTATTGGTGGGTGTTAGTGGTGGTGTTAGTGGTGGTGTTAGTGATGGTGTTAGTGATGGTGTTTGTGGTGTGCTATTGGTAGGTGTTAGTGGTGGTGTTAGTGGTGGTGTTAGTTGGTGTTAGTGGGATGGTGTTAGTGGTGGGCGTTATTGGTAGATGTTAGTCGTAGTGTTAGTGTTGGGTTATTGGTAGTTGTTAATGGTTGTGTTAGAGGTTGGCGTTATTGGTAGGTGTTAGTAGTGGTGTTAGTGGTGGTGTTAAATTGGGTGTTATTGGTAGGTGTTGTGTGAGGTGTTAGTGGTGTTAGGTGGTGGTGTTAGTGGTGGTGTTAGTGGTGGTGTTACTGGTGGTGTTATTGTGAGTGTTAGTGGTGGTGTTAGTGGTGGTGTTAGAGGTGGGCTATTGCAGGTGTTAGTGGTGGTGTTAGTGGTGGTGTTAGATGGTGGTGTTAGTGGTGAGTGTTGGTGGTGTTACTGGTGGTGTTAGTGGTGGTGTTATGGTGGTTTTAGTGGTGGTGTTAGTGGTGAGGTTACTGGTGGTAGTATTGTGAGTGTTAGTGGTGGTGTTAGTGGTGGTGTTAGTGGTTGTGTTAGTGGTGAGTGCTACTGGTGGTGTTAGTGGTGGTGTTAGAGGTGCTGATAGTGGTGGGCGTTATTGGTAGGTGTTATGTGGTGGTAGAGTGGGCGTTATTGGTAGGTGTTAGTGGTGGTGTTAGTGGTGGTGTTAGTGGTGGTGTTAGTGGTGAGTGTTACTGGTGGTGTTAGTGGTGAGTGTTAGTGGTGGTATTAGTGGTGAGTTTTACTGGTGGTGTTAGTGGTGGTGTTAGTGGTGGTGTTAGTGGTGGGCGTTATTGGTAGGGTGTTAGTGGTGGTGTTAGTGATGGTGTTAGTGGTGGTGTTAGTGATGGTGTTAGTGGTGAGTGTTAGTGGTGGTGTTAGTGGTGAGTGTTACTGTGGTGTTAGTAGTGGTGTTAGTGGTGGTGTTAGTGGTGGTGTTATTGGTAGGTGTTAGTGGTGGTGTTAGTGATGGTGTTAGTGGTGGGCGTTATTGGTAGGTGTTAGTGGAGGTGTTAGTGGTGGCAGAGGTGGTGTTAGTGGTGGTGTTAGTGGTGGGCGTTGGTAGGTGTGTTAGTGGTGGTGTTAGTGGTGGTGTTAGTGGTAGGTGTTATTGGTGTTAGAGGTGGCGTTGTGTGGTAGGCGTTAGTGGTTGGTGTTAGTGGTGGTATTAGTGGTGGTGTTAGTGTTAGGTGTTACTGTGTAGAGGTGGCGTTATTGGTAGGTGTTAGTGGTGGTGTTAGTGGTGGTGTTAGAAGTGGGCGTTATTGTAGGTGTTAGTGGTGTTAGTGGTGGTGTTAGAGTGTGACGTTATTGTAGGTGTTAGTGAGGTTACTGGTGGTGTTAGAGGTGGGCGTAGGTGTTAGTGGAGGTGTTAGTGGTGGTGTTATTGTGGTGTAAGTGGTGGTGTTAGAGGTGGGCGTTATTGGTAGGTGTTGTGGTGGTGTTAGTGTGGTGTTAGATGGTGGTGTTGGTGGTGAGTGTTAGTGGTGGTGTTAGTGGTGGTGTTAGTGGTGGTGTAGTGGTTGGTGTTAGTGGTGAGTGTTACTGGTGGTGTTAGTGGTGGTGTTAGAGGTGGTGTTAGTGGTGGGCGTTATTGGTAGGTGTTAGTGGTAGGCGTTAGTGGTAGGTGTTAGTGGTGGTATTAGTGTGGTGTTAGTGGTAGGGTGTTACTAGTGGTGTTAGAGGTATTGGTAGGTGTTAGTGGTGGTGTTAGTGGTGGTGTAGAGGTGGGGCGTTATTGGTAGGTGTTAGTGGTGGTGTTAGTGGCAGTGTTAGTGGTGGTGTTAGGTGGTAGGTGTTAGTGGTGGTGTTAGAGGTGGGCGTTATTGGTAGGTGTTAGTGGTGGTGTTTGTGGTGGTGTTAGAGGTGGTGGGCGTTATTGGTAGGTGTTAGTGGTGGTGTTAGTGGTGGGTGTTAGAGGTGTGTGTTAGTGGTGGTGTTTGTGGTGTTAGAGGTGGCGGTTGGTAGGTGTTGTGGTGGTGTTAGAGGTGGGCGATGGTAGGTTTTAGTGGTGGTGTTAGTGGTAGTGTTAGAGGTGGGCGTTATTGTAGGTTTTAGTTGTGGTGTTAGTGGTGGTGGTAGGTGTTAGTGGTGGTGTTAGTGGTGGTGTTAGAGGTGGGCGTTATTGGTGGTTTAGTGGTGGTGTTAGTGGTAGTGTTAGTGGTGGTGTTAGTGGTGAATGGAGGTGTTAGTGGTGAGTAGTGGTGGTATTAGTGGTGAGTTTTACTGGTGGTGTAGTGGTGGTGTTAGTGGTGGTGTTAGTGGTGGGCGTTATTGGTAGGTGTTAGTGGTGGTGTTAGTGATGGTGTTAGTGGTGGTGTTAGTGATGGTGTTAGTGGTGAGTGTTAGTGGTGGTGTTAGTGGTGAGTGTTACTGGTGGTGTTAGTAGTGGTGTTAGTGGTGGTGTTAGTGGTGGCGTTATTGGTAGGTGTTAGTGGTGGTGTTAGTGATGGTGTTAGAGGTGGCGTTATTGGTAGGTGTTAGGTGGATGTTAGTGGTGGTGTTAGAGGTGGTGTTAGTGGTGGTGTTAGAGGGCGTTATTGGAGGTGTTAGTGGTGGTGTTAGGTGGTGTTAGTGGTAGGTGTTACTGGTGGTGTTAGAGGTGGGCGTTATTGGTAGGTGTTAGTGGTAGGCGTTAGTGGTTGGTGTTAGTGGTGGTATTAGTGGTGGTGTTAGTGTTAGGTGTTACTGGTGGTGTTAGAGGTGGGCGTTATTGTAGGTGTTAGTGGTGGTGTTAGTGGTGGTGTTAGAAGTGGGCGTTATTGGTAGGTGTTAGTGGTGTTAGTGGTGGTGTTAGAGGTGGACGTTATTGGTAGGTGTTAGTGAGTGTTACTGGTGGTTTTAGAGGTGGGCGTATTGAGGTAGTGGAGGTGTTATTGGTGGTGTTATTGGTGGTGTTAGTGGTGGTGTTAGAGTTGGGCGTTATTGGTAGGTGTTAGTGGTGGTGTTAGTGGTGTTAGATGGTGGTGTTGGTGGTGAGTGTTAGTGGTGGTGTTAGTGGTGGTGTTAGTGGTGGTGTTAGTGGTTGGTGTTAGTGGTGAGTGTTACTGGTGGTGTTAGTGGTGGTGTTAGAGGTGGTGTTGGTGGTGGGCGTTATTGGTAGGTGTTAGTGGTAGGCGTTAGTGGTAGGTGTTAGTGGTGGTATTAGTGGTGGTGTTAGTGTTAGGTGTTACTAGTGGTGTTTAGAGGTGGTCGTTATTGGTAGGTGTTAGTGGTGGTGTGTAGTGGTGGTGTTAGAGGTGGGCGTTGGTTGCAGGTTTTAGAGGTGGTGTTAGTGGTGGTGTTAGTGGTGGTGTTAGATGTGGGCGTTTTTGGTTGGTGTTAGTGGTGGGCGTTATTGTTAGGTGTTAGTGGTGGGCGTTAGTGGTGGTGTTAGAGGTGGTGTTAGTAGTGACTGTTAGTGGTGGTGTTAGTGGTTATGTTAGTGGTGGTGTTAGTGGTGAGTGTTACTGGTTGTGTTAGTGGTGGTTTTAGTGGTGGTTTTAGGGATGGGCGTTATTGGTAGGTGTTAGTGGTAGTGTTAGTGGTGAGTGTTACTGGTGGTGTTAGAGGTGGGCGTTATTGGTAGGTGTTAGTGGTGGTGTTAGTGGTGGTGTTAGAGGTAGTGTTAGTGGTGAGTGTTACTGGTGGTGTTAGAGGTGGGCGTTATTGGTAGGTGTTAGTGGTAGGCGTTAGTGGTAGGTGTTAGTGGTGGTGTTAGTGGTGGTGTTAGTGGTAGGTGTTACTGGTGGTGTTAGAGGTGGGCGTTATTGGTAGGTGTTAGTGGTAGGTATTAGTGGTGGGTGTTAGTGGTGGTGCCAGTGGTGTTAGTCGATGGTGTCGGTCGATGGTGTCAGTGGTGCGTGTCAGAAGTGGGGTGCAAATTAAGTGACTCAATAACGCAGGTGGTGGTGGCGTTTGGCAGGTAAGACAGACAGCCATTCACCATCAGTCATAAGCGCGTTAGGTGAGAACAGGACGTGGCCAAGAACAGGTGTGAGGCACAGGTAAGCTTTTGGGATTTACACATACGCGATACCCAAACCCACAACAACAAAAATCGTAAGTTTAATTTTTTTCCAACAATTCACTGATTCTATGATACAAAGAATCTCAAAATTTCTTGAATAAAAACAAATCTTAAGTGTTAAAATTGACGTAGAAATTACACTGGGATTTTACCGTAAGAGTGACGTAGGAGAGGTGGTGGATTCTCAGTGATTCTCAGTTATTTATTGTTGTAAAGATTTAGTGCAAAGATGCTGCTGTTATTTTAGTCTCATCTCGTTTCGTATCTCTGTCTGTCTGTCTGTTTTTCAGGTTCCTTCTCTCTTTCCTTGGTTTCTGTCATATTTTTCTCTCTCTCTGTCTATGAATGTCTCTGCTACATCTCTTCTATATATGCTCTCTTCTACGCCGTCTCTCCCTCTCTATCTTTGTCTTTTTCTAAATATCTC